GAAGCAACCCATCAGTCTGACTTGCCCTGCAGCAACGCTACAGACCATGCAAACGATGGGAGAACCCCAGGGCAGAGAGAGGCCCTTTGCTCTAGGGCCAGCCAGGGCTGGCCAGCCTGCAAGGACAGACCTGCTCTAAGCCAGCCATCCTGCTGTGGCACTGAAGAGCTGAATATTCCTAGCAGGAAGCAAATCTATACTTTTAGTGTTTCAGAGCAAGCGCAGGAGGAGCAAATTAACTATATTTTGCCCAAAGTGCAGCCTTGCACCTGAACAACCAATTTCTGATCGATGTATGAAAAGGAAAGAGCCTGTGGGCAGCAGAAAATCCAGAACAGCTTTGTGCCAAAAGCACAGATGTGCCAGGGTATTTGAGTCACCCTGTTTGCACAGCCCCATCCCCCCAGAGCTGGAGACGCTCGGAGGGAGGGCATCCTGTAAGAGGAGAAAGGGAACTCCGTGAGAACTGCAGTGCTGGTCTGCACTGGAAAAGTACAAAAGGACCTGCCAGAAAAACAGAGGCAGAACTCAGAGAGCCACCCACCATCTCTGTCGAGTTGAAATACCATGTGAAGATCAGGTCCTGAAAGCCTATGCAGGTGGTGAAGGTGCAGGGCAGCAGGACGTTGGAGTTATTCAGAGCCATCACAGTGTTGGTCTTCCCCACCGACACCTCCAAGGTGAAGGCGATGGCAAAGAGATGCAAACCTGGCAGGGAGAGCGGAGGAGAGAGTGAGGGCAGGGCACCGGCACACAGCCCAGCCTGCTGCAGCCCGGTCCTTCCCGGGGCTGCGATGCAGCCCAGCCTGCTGCTGGGCTCTGCTGCAGACACGCGCCCTCGGGGCAGGTAGGAGAACGGGGCACGGGAGGGACCACTTCTCCCCCCCGGCATCGCAGCCTCCAGCTGGAGCACCAGCCGGAGTGGGGATCCCCTCCCAGGGAGGGGTGGGGGGCAGCGGGGCTCAGCCATTGCCCCCTCTAGGTCCCGCTCCCGGCTCTGCCAAGGACCCGCGGCATCCTCCTGTCCCGCAGCCGCAGTACGGGGGGCACGAGCCCAGCTCCCCTCCCTGAGCCCAGGGACGGGTTTGTCTCCCCTCGTCCCCCCTGGCACGGCAAGCTGCCGCAGCAGCGGGGCAGGGGCAAACACGCCTGTCCCTGGCCCCAGGACAGCTCGGCAGAGATAGGGGACCTGCTGCTGGAGGAAGGGCAGGGGCCGGCTGGCACCCACAGAGATGGCGCAGACTCAAAGGGAACCATAATATCACCACGAATAACGCATGCAAATGAAAGCCCCGATTTGCACGTTATCCACCAGGCCTTCAGCTAAACCTTAAAGGGGGGGAAAAAAGCGCAAAGCAAAGCCGAGCTCTCTGTTCTTCAAGCAGCGAGTTGGAGCAGTAATTAGCATCGCTGTGCTGGACGCCTGCCACCCCGCCAGCCCCCCACCCCAGGCGCCGTCCCTCAGCCAGCCCGCACAGCTCCTTGCAGCGCCTGTGCAGACCTCCGGAGCGGCACCCCCTCATGCCTGCCTTGCAGAGAGCTTCATCTCCCGCTGTAGCTGACAGATGACCTTCAAACTGCAGAACGCAGCTCTCCTGCTCCTCTCCTCCCCGTTAGCAGGGAGAAATGCCTCAAGGAGCAGGTACGAGCTCAGCTGCAAGAGCTGAGTGAGTGCCTGAAAGCTCCCGGGGTCCCACGCAGGGGGACCGCACCCCTGTGCGCCACGCTGGGCCAGCGGTGCCCACACGAACCCTTTGCACGGGGCACTGGGATGCTTTGCTCCAGGCTGGGGAGCAGCCCCACTCCCCATTCCCATCCCACCAGGACCCTGTCCCGCTTGTGTGACATGGCATGGCCACGATGCAGCACGACCCAGCAAAGCGCTGTCCGCCCCCTTCCCAGACCTCAGCCACCGCAGGGACCCAGCCGTCCCTACAAAGCTTTCCCCGGGCACTCTGACAACCAAAACAAGGGGGGACAGCTCTTCCCAGAGCTACAACCTGCTCCCCAGCTCCCCAGACACCTTAACTTGGAGACCCTGCCCTCAGCTTCAGATTCACGTCTCTCTGCAGCCGCTTCAGCTGCTGATTTATTCTCCCACACATGCCCGTGCTAACAACTCCCCAGGCACGTCGCAGCCCAAGCCAAGCCTGAGAGCCCTGCATCCTGGGCTGTGGGCCCTGCTGCAGTGCTGCATTGCAAGCACTGCAGGGAAGGAGTTACTTAACTTTACAAAGAAGCACTTTTAATTTTGCTTGAGAGGCTTTAGCTACCGGCAGGGAGCCGTTCCCACCAGCTGGAGGTCTCCTGCAGTTGTCAGGCTCAAAGACCAGCCCTGGGGATGCTACAGAGGGGCCTTCGCAGCCCGGAGCATCCCAGGGGAATCATGCTGCTACCTGGAGTACGACTTAGCGGGGGGATGGCTGGCTCTGCAGGTATGCCCGAGCAGGCAGGGCGCTGCAAGGGGGCAGTTACTTACAGGAAAGATGATTCCTTGCAGCTTCTAACACTTTTAATCCTGTCTGCCACCTTTAGAACGTCATGAACGTAATCTAAATTGAATGTGTGGGGTAAACGGAGGCTGATCTTGTTCCGGTCATGCTGTGGTCTCAGGAAGACAGAAGTGATATGTTACCACTAAATAAAGCACAGAGGAAAACACTTGGGGAGGCTGGGAGATTACTGACTAAACTTGCCACACCAGCTGCCACCGTTACTTTTCCGTACGCCCAAAGCCGCTGCTCTTTGTACCACCAGAGCCCCAACCTTCCGTGCGCGGGGCAAGCCCCTCCGGGGGCTCCAGGCTCCCCCCCATGCCTGCAGGCAGGTGTCCCCAAGAGACAGGGCCGGGGATCAGCCACTCCTGCTGCTGCCAGAGCCTTGGCTGCCTGCTCTTTGCTCTCGCTGGCGGTGAGCACCTGGGGCAAGCTCCCCTGACAAGGGGTCCCAGAGCCGCTGAGCTATATGCAGTAGCGCTGTGTGTGCAACCCAGGACCCAGCCCCAGCGATGGCAGCGACACCCTCCAACTCTGGCCAGGGCTCAGAGCAAGCCTTTCCCCCCACAGGCTGCTGGCAGCCCCCCGCTTTTCCTGCATCCCAGCAGGAACCGGGTCTGGGAACCACTGCCCTAATGGAAAGGGCACACAGGATTCACCTGAGAAGCCACAGGAGGCCCCCACCATCTGT